TTTCAAGTGAGAGAAATTGCGACAAGAGAGCCGAGCGAACGTTTCATTCGAGTACCGTAGGTACTTATTAGCCGATAATTTGCAACTCTGCTGGCGATATGGTTAATTATTACAATTAAGCTGATCTGGGATCCCAATTCCCTGTGAGGATTCGCCCGTGTTAACTATACTGTTGAGACTGTTGCATTGTTATTCATGCTCGAATTTGAGCATAAAATTGTTTTGTGAGTAAAATTTATGCATTTCATCTCAAAGAGAATGAAAATAAGTACGCTAAATAATACATTCGTCCGATGACAAGCGAAAAAAAGACAAGTGAAATATTAATGTTAGCCACTTATCCGTCGCATATATATCGTAAAATCAGTTTATTAAACAATTGCGTAAACAAAAACTTGGTTGAATTTAAATTTGGATGAATGTCGTTTTTCCATCTCATTAAAAGTTTCCCATGTTTCACAAATCTTTAAGCTCCAAGTTAAATTTTATTTAAGTCTAAAAAACTTTCTGACTTTTCCTGATTAATTAGATAATTCCTCGACGATTCATTAACCGGTACATTCGAAAATCTACAAGAGACGAGAGAGAGAGAGAAAGAGAAAGAGAGAGTGTAGCTAGTCACTTTTCGTATGTAACGTAATTACCAGTCGCTAATGGAATGAAGTCGCGAAAAACCTGCAGTAATTACTTCGTTACCTCTTTATTACATATAAGATCTCGCGAAAAAAAAATTTTGCGAAAAAACGACTCGTCTCCATTCGCGAGAATTCTAATATTCAGATGTTATTACGGATACGTTGGAATTCTTCAACGTACACGTGGAATTAATTTAATTAAAACGTGTAATTGAAATTCTTCATATCGACCGTACCAACATTGTTGTTGATGACATTGTCGAGTAATAAAATCATTGCATTAAAGGCACAATGATCACTTTACGTTACGCACATTTATATGTAATGTTAATTATATAATGTACGAGTATCATTACAGCAAGTTTGAGCAGCATCATTTTCACGGAGGAATATTAAATACGTTCCCTCTTCAAATTTATCTGCAAAATATACGCGGTTACATTTCCGGTTCCGCGCCATTAAATTGGAATAAGACCATTCCTCGCGCTGTCTCGGTTGTATCTGTACAAGGATTTCTGCAATTACGCACTTACCACCGTCTCGCTGGTACATCGGTGGAGGTAACATTGAATTTACTATGGCCTGGCAGTGATTGCACTTCTCTGAATGCGATCAATGGGCGTAAACGCACGTGCTAAGCGGCCTACTATTGTTGCATCGGTATTGTTCAGGTACAGGTTATTGTTACATTATACCTGCATTATTGAACCTTATTACGAGCAGACGTTTAAGGCCAGGAATTCAGCGCGACTTACATTGCAGCGCAAACGCGAATGAATGCGAGGAATGCGCATCCATTGACATTCTGAGATTCAAGAGAGAAAGAGAGAGAGAGAATCTTGCTACAAGACCCAACATCGAAGGATTGACAAGGCGCGAAATATGTCGTAAACCTACTTTCAAGATCATAAAAAGTCTTACATGTTTAATTTCGACTTGTACATAGTAAAAAATTGTGCGTCCATATGTTAAAATTTTCTTGTGTTATCACCTTCTGATTAATACTTCAATGTAAAATTAACATAGAGCGTATATATTATTACAATATTTTTATAACGTTTTCATGTGTTACATTTATGTTCAACTTTATAACTTAACACTTTGTATATGTTTTCTTAGAAATGGAATATTATTTTGAGTATTTTTAACATAATCATTTTAAACAATCAACGTGTCTCAAAGTCAGTTTAATATTCTAAGAAAAGTTAAAGTGAATCTTGAAATAATCTTGAACTTTGACATCCAAAAATAATCAAATTTACTAAAATCAAAGGTTTCTATTACAAATAATTGAAGTTAAAATAATTACTATTATATGTTAATGTCCTCAACATTTCTTACGAGTTATTCTAACTATTTTTTCATGTAACTTTTAATTAATTTGTATGTTAATTTTACACTTAAAGTCACAATAACAAAAATAAATGTAAAGTATCGTGTCAATTATTTAACATTTTAAGTTTGTCAATAAGTAACATGCGACGAATGAGTTATTTTAATTTAAAATTTAGAGTGATTTGAAATTTAGAATAAAATTTAGAAGACTTTCTGGGACACGTGAAAAATGTTATAATTAACATTTTATTTTTTACTATGTATATGTGCTATCAAGTTTATTAAGAAAAACAAAATCGCTTTGTAACTTCATATCAATAGTATGATGCTGAAAGTTATATCGTTCCTAGGCTAAAGTATCTTTTTTCTTCCATCACTTTTTTTCAACGCTGAAGGTGCTCTCCTATCCATTTCTAATTAGAAGATAATAATCTTCATTAAAAGTTTCGACAATCAAGATTGCGTGAGAAAGTAAACTAACCTCGGTGAACAAAATCTGAAAAGGAAAAGAAAAAGAAAGTACAGTCGGCGATGCACGCTCGTCGAACCGCAATCTCGTCGCTCGATCGGGGAATCTTCCTTATTTAATCGCAAAATCGTCGACATCGGCATCACGCTTTTTAACGAGGCGCCGAGATGTTTAAGATCAAAATTATAAGGCCGGTAGGTGCGGGCTACCGATCGATTTTCCCTCGCAGCCCGCCTTTTTTCTCCTCTTCTCCGTCCACACTTTAAAACACTTGGTCTCTGATGCGTTTCGTCGCTCGCGCTTATATTCCAGACAACGTACAAGGTGTCTGCACTTTATGACGAGGACTTTATTAGCATTTTACGGCGTGTATCACGCCACGCGAGCATCGATGTTGGCGCCATAACTTTTTGTAATATTGAGAATATGAGAGAAAGAGAGAGAGAGAGAGAAAGAGATATATGCAGCAAAGGCAAGTCGCATTTCTCGAAAAATAAAGAGTCCCTCATAAGAGCGAATGTTTCCTCGTATCGTGCCACAGTAACCTGGAGATGCGCAATTTTCTAAATGCAAAACTGTCAAAAGATATCATATACCTCGGTCGAAATAATTAACAGTAATTTATTATGCGAAATGTACTTCCCAGAATGGAATATATTATATGGTATTAATGGAATATATTATATATTATATAGTGTTCGCATGAAATTATTACTTCACTAACCGCGTACAAGCGTAAAGCTTCTCTTTCGATTAATACACGGATATTGCGTCTATTCTTCCGGCGCAATATCCGCTCTTCCGCGCTTCAATTATTCTCAGCGCGCATTTTTTTATATTGCATGCTTTTTTATATTGCATGCCTGCGATTCGAAGGATTATTCTTCGCGTTGTATTTCAATTCCTTCTGTCCTCGCGATCTTCTCTTCGATAAAAATTTTTTTTACCGAACCGAACCGATGCGCGGCCGCCAACGCACAACGCGATCAAAGAAGCGATCGTTCGAAAAGTCCCGCGCGAATTCTCGTTTGCGCGGCGATTCGTTCCGCCTGTTAATTTAATTCACGTTAAAAGCACCGGCACCGGCACCGGTGATACTCGCGATAACAATTAAAAGCCGATAACTATGGTTATAATGGCTGTTGCGGTGCTTGCGAAGGTGCATCCGGCAAAACGACGATCGAGAATAGCTCGTCTTTACGTCAAATGCACCTAGAGACAACGAGCAATACCGCTTTAATCTCCCATAAATTGCGAAAACGGAAACGAGGCGAGAATAATCGTCGAACGATGGCGCATTTTTCACCTCTCTCGTTTCACTTTTGCCATCAAATTTTCTTTCAAAGACGTATTCCTTAAATCTCAAGTATTCCTTACGCGCGTCTTACAGCTAATTCTAATCTAATTAATATATCGAGCATCAAAATTAATGTATATATGTATAATAAAATTATATATATCTAATATTCAAAAATCAATAGGCAGAAAAGCACAGCGCAAAAAAATCTAAGTATCCAAATTTTTGTTTAATATCACTTGTTAAAATTTAATATCTTTTTAATGAAAAAAAATTTAAATACTCAAATTTATTAAACACTGCAGGATGTTGATGACACTTGATGTGGTTTTCATAGAATTTAAATAAGTATCACGAGAGACATCAAACATTGTATACAAAAAAAATCAAAATTGATGAGATATATATAAAAAAAGAAATAATATTAATACAAAAGTGGTTGTAAGATATAAATCAAATATTCAAAAATCAATAGGCAGAAAAGCACAGCGCAAAGATAACAGTAACGCAAAAAAACAAAAATACAAAAAATTGATGACAACAAATAATTTCTTATTGTGAAATTATTTGTTGTCATCAATTTTTTGTCTTTTTGTTTTTTTGCGTTTTACTGTTATCTTTGCGCTGTGCTTTTCTGATATGCCTATTGATTTTTGAATATTTGATTTATATCTTACAACCACTTTTGTATTAATATTATTTCTTTTTTTATATATATCTCATCAATTTTGATTTTTTTTGTATACAATGTTTGATGTCTCTCGTGATACTTATTTAAATTCTATGAAAACCACATCAAGTGTCATCAACATCCTGCAGTGTTTAATAAATTTGAGTATTTAAATTTTTTTTCATTAAAAAGATATTAAATTTTAACAAGTGATATTAAACAAAAATTTGGATACTTAGATTTTTTTCATGAAAAAGATATTAAAGATATTAAAGATTAAATTTTAAGTGATTAAAAGAAGCGAAGAAAAATAAGTTTCGATTACTCTCGCGAGCTACCGAGAGTTTTCTCGACGAAAAGATTGCAACTATATGAATCAAAGCCGTAAAACGAGACTTTAAATTCAAAACAGCTTCGTGTCGGGGAAGGAGAAAGGCAGAAAGAGAATCGTCGAGTGGAGCAGATTCTCTCATGAAGCAGGACAGCGAATTTCACGGTCTTTCATTTATGCTAACGCGCGTCCGTAAACACGCTTCAAAATAAACTATCTCGTTCCTTCGCGCGCTAATGTTGAGATAAATAGTCGGTACTTACAAACAGTACCACGTTATAAATGTGAAGAACATATTTCAAGAAATTCACGGAGCAGCAACCGTCATCTCTGGTCCTAAGTCTGGTGGAACTACCGGGTAATCTCTCAGCGCTCTTGGCCATTTTCGATCAATTATTGGTTGCGTGTGTCACCGTTTTCGTTGTCACCTCGTCGTCGTTGCTGTAAAATAGTAATAACGAGAAATTTAGACAAAAATGACATTAAAACACATTACTCGAGATAAAATGTATTAGACGAAAAATCGCAAGAGAAGTCGAACAGATAAAAATAAATCTGCATCTTTCGTGATAAATAAATTTTAAATATATGCATAATATAAGCAACAAGGCTTAAAAGTACAATACGTGCAAGGTAAACGTATAATTAAGAAGGTGTAGAATGTTATTTCATAATGTAAGAAAATGCGAGTAAAAGCTTACTTTCGATGCAACATGAAAATAAAGAGGAAAGAAATGTTTTACGACGAAGGAAGCGTGTTTAAGCAAGTAATCAACAAGTTTTCGACTGTCTACCGTCCAAGAAAGTAATCAACGAGCTTCAGATTCAACATCGGAGTCTTCGTTGCTTGTTTATACTCGCTTGGACATTAGATCAAGTTAAAGATTTTCTTCCTTCCGGCTCGACGACTAAACTTTGTTGGAACATCGGGTCAATCCTGTACTTGGCATCGAATCAACAACGGAAGGGAGTGATTACGCACGAATTCTTCTTATATGAAATATATTGGCATTTAGAGAAATCGTCTTTTTAATTTTCGAAAAAATTTACGTATTGATTTTCGCACTTTCACAAATTTATCAACGATAAAGACATTTGACTATTTAAGGATGTTTTGTACTTATTTTTAAAATATTGAGAATTTAATGAAAATTGTACAGAATTTCCTTACATATGTTTAGAATCTTCAGTACAATTTTTAAATCGTTTCATTAAAGCGTTCACAAATTATAAGGATTTTAATTTGCACCGAATTAACATGTGTTCTTATGGGAAACGTATAACCACATCGATTCAAATGACAAAAATCACATGGAAATAATATTCAGAATTTGTTTAAAATTTGCAAAAGTTTAGATAGAGGAAATATTTGGTCAAATAATATTATACAAGTACTAACTGATTAAAAAGATTATTAAATATAATTCAATGAAGTTAGCCATGTATCTGTCACAAGGCGAAATTCTCTGCCAAAAGTTAATCATTTCGATTCACAAAATTCGGAATATTTCAATAAAAACGCAATAAATATTTAAAAATACATCTCTGCACCGTAGCTAAAATCAAATTGTAATATTCCACACAATTTCTCATACTCAAAATACACCAAAAGTGGATATTCGTCAATATTCAGCTACTTTTCAGCTACTTTTGGGATTGTACATACAAAACATCCTTAATCAAAATGTGCAAATTTGCGTGTCGATACCAGTATAAATTTAAAAATATTAATATAATTTAAATTAAATATAATATTTAATATAATTTAATTTAAAAATTAAAACATTTTTCTCGTTTCGACAATTCCGTTTGCGCGGAAAACGCTTTTTCGCGACTCTCTCTTTCTCACTCTCGGTAAACGGTAAAGATCTTTTGCGAAGAAGCAAGTTTACTGTAATATATCGTAGAAATTCAGCAGGAGAAACGACACTCGATGTTTCCGCTTCCCCGCGTCGCAAGTGCCGGCAAAGGTGCGAGGAAATTGATGTAATTTGATAATCGCGCAACCAATGGCCCTGTCAGACGCATGTGTGCATATCGCGGGCAAAGGATGATCGGCGACGTTGATCGAGCACCGGGAGAGTAACTTGGTGCTACGGTTCGAAGTGAAAGCAGCGCGCGTTGGCGCGAGTCCAGGGCGAGGCAAGGGCGTCCATAGATTTTGATCCAGGGGGTGGAGGGGGCCGTACCATGGTCTCATAGGGGACCGTAAACTGTCTATCTATTTTTCGCTATATACGAGCCGCTTGTGTGAGCGATGATGCAATTTCAGCGAAATCTTCGGGACTCGAAATTGCGACGTTTCCGAAATAAACGACTCGCGGTAAGCTTCTCGGATTTTTTAAACTCGTTGATGACAAGAAGAAATTATACAATACGTTTTCCTTTCTTTCCCGGGAATATCCGGGCTCGAATTATACGACAAATTTTGGGAAATTTTTAAATTGAAAAGAGGAACTATGGCCTCGCTATTCACTAGGGCCAACCTTGCGGGCTGGCACATAATGTCGTTTTACGTTGCCAAGAAAAATGCGAACATCTCCCTCCGCTCTAATGCATCGCACTCTCCATCTCTCGCTTTTCCTCTTTCCGTTCTTTCCGCGATTCTCTCGTTTGTACGCGAGTCGCATTCTATGTAAGAATGCATAGGAACGCCAAGTATTTCCCTGCACGAAGAAGCTGACACGACAGATTGCGCGAAACGGCCCGTTTCTTTCGTACGTAACGATTCTTTTTGCGGTGAAAAAGATGGGAGATAAAATCAGATAGGCATGAAACGACATGATCAAATATTTGAACAATACAGCTGTCTCCTTAAAGTAAGCTTGGCAATTTGTAGTACATAATTCATCATGATCGTTGCTACCTGTCATGTACATCCATCTTATCTTGTTTCATGTCGTCGCATTTTATAACATCTCCTTATAAGTTCTCCCTCGGGAGCCAACCTTAAGATATTGCAAAAAAAAAAACGTTGAATAATTCATATCTTGATTATAACATCGCACTATTCTATAAATTTCGATCCGCTGCAAAATTGCAATTCGGCGGAGGAAAATTACATTTGTTGCGGTCAACGTCCGTTCGTACGCGACTCGTATATCGAATGAGAATACCGATAACCACTCGATCTTTTTGATCGATATACACGGTGCGAACAAGGCGTTTTTTAAACATAATATAAAGAAAAAGTAAAAATTCTGCATCATAATATATATTTGTAAACATTTCTATAAAAATATATAGATGATATATTTTCTTTTAAAGGCAGTCGAATCTAAATTTCATAGACTAAATAATTGGAAAAAAATTACGGCAAAGTACGAAAAGTGCCAAATGTTTTTACCCTCTTTAAATTAAGCAATAAAAATTTGATATTGTGCGTAATGTAACTAAGAAGAATCGAAGAATATTATCGCATCATTTGACATTTGTGTAACGAGGAGTCGAGCGGAATATTTATGATCGAACGACTTTGTTCTTTTCCGCGACTTACGAGTCATTTCTCTCTGTCGGTGGATGAGCGCGACGAGAGTGCGAAGGATAAATGACGCATAATGAAGAGCAGAAGGGAGGATCACGACGAGGATCGGGAGATGGTGGACGAGAGCGAAAGACAGAGGTGATTACAGCGATGAAGAAACCCGAGGAGGAAAGATGAAAGGAGAGAAACCGCGAAATTAAATGGGTGTGACCCATCCCGCGTGTGGGCGAGATCGTTTCGTGCGCGCGAGTGTACAGAAAACTTCCCTAAGATGTATGCGTGAATACATTTTTTCTCCCCGTCGAGTGCAAGGTCAAAGATTTTAATGCAAGGCGGACGGTTCGATGCACCATACGGTTATTAACCCTTTGAAATTTATCGGTTATCCTCTCGCTACCAAGCTAACGTATCCCTGATTAAATTGGCATTCGATAGTATCGCGGTAATTTATAGTGGATAATTTATACTATCTTCAGTTTTTTTTTTTGCGGAGATTAAACGTATCCCTTTATGAAATACCGAGTAAGGCAAAAACGCGTGCACAGTTTAACTTTGACGCATAAATTAATTTTTAAAAATAACGACACGCCGATGTATGTAAATGTGCATGTTATCAGTGTCGATTTATTGATAAACATATATATATATATATATATATATATATATATATATATATAATATAAAATATAAATAATACAAAATATTTTTTAGTAAAAAATATTTTGTATAATATTTTTATTAAAATTTTATTAAAATTTTTATTAAAATTTTTGTGTTAAATTTTTAACATACTCATATGTTAATGTAACATATTATCATTGCGTTATTTTGACATTTCTGCATTGAGTTAATATTCACCGTTTCTGAGAGTTTAAACAACACAATTAATATGTAAATGCACGAATTTTTGATGAAATATGTTATATGTTAAAATGAACAGATAAGTTGTGTTATTTTTCTCTCTACAACAGTTTCCATATGATAAATCGATATATCTCTTCTGTTATTTATCATAAAAATGTAAGAATAACATTTTCTTTTAATTAAATTTAACATTATAAATATGTTAATTTAACATAAACTTTATTTCCAGATAAAGTTTAAATGTTACACTTTTGTATTAATTTTAATTAAACATATTACTTTTGTTATTTATTTATATACTTGGCTTCTGTTAAATTAACATTAAAATTAGAGTGGATAAATTGGGACATGTGAAATATGTTAAATTTAACACAAAATTTTTTACTGTGTGTATATATATATATATATATATATATATATATATATATATAAATTAAACTCATACACAGGCAAGCAACATGAATGCTGATTGATGCTGCTAATTTAATCGCTTAAATTAATAAACAACTAAATTCCACACGCAAACGAAGCTGCAGCTCGTATTTCTGTTTGCTATAGCGGCGGTTCCGATTTCGCCGATATCTATTATCTCACTTTGCAGTGCGTTGCAGATATTATTATACCGCTTTTTCTCAAACAATATACACCTGATAATTGATCAAGTACCGCGGCTAAAACAGAGTCGATCCGCGCAATTTTGATAAATTCGCAGATTACTCACTTCCAGTTCGGAGAAGCCTAACTCAAGTTAAGTCGCATCATGAAAAATTCGTTGGTCCGATAAAAGAGATCCCGGGGTTTGCAAACTTCCGCGGAAATGTCGTTCATTATCCCGATGCTCTCCGAAGCGCGGACACGAATTCCAGGATAGCGGCGTAAACAACTTGTGGCTTTCCACATCGGAAAGCATGTATATTCCCCGTTTTTTGCGAAAAAACTGTCGCGACACTGAAAAATACACTTCCTTTGTCACGGTTTACGTTATAATAAACGCTCGTTAATGAACTAATTCTTTTATGTAAAAGCGCAAAAGATGGCTGTGTATTTATTCGCCTCCAAATTCGAGTAAACCGATTAATCGATAAAATGCGAT